TTAATATATATAATATAATATATATAATATAAAAATGAAATATGTACAAAATATACCTCGATTCTTTAAACAATATTTAATAATTATACTATTTGTGTAATTAACATATTGTAAATAAAGTATATTACAAAAAGGTATATTTTTTTAATCAGAATTAATAAGGATATAATTTTCTAATTATTAATTTTTTATCATCTTGCTTTGTAAAAAATGTTACATACTCCGGTTTTGTATACTGCTCTTTTATATAAAGCAACAAGTCTGTCAATTGCGCCTTCTCTAATCTCCAGAGAAGGGAGGTGAGGCAAAAAATCATTTCCTACGAAGAAACACATAAATACCCAATCATCAACAGCTCGTTCAAAATCATATTTGAATGGTAGATTTGGCATATGTAATTCTCTTTCTAAATATTCTCTGAGAACATTCAATCGCACGAATATGAACTGGCATTCAGATCCATATGTGTTCTCCTCTGGCTTTTGGTTTGGTTCCGCGCCTGTACACTCACGCATTTCATGTCCTAACTGACCACATATATCGCATGGTTTTGGCTTATTCGGTTTAAATTCTTCACGAATAATAGTAAAATTGGGTTCGTGTGTAGCAAGCCCTAACATAATTAAATCAGCATCGGCTCCGCATAAAACATGTTGCGTATTAGGATCGTGATCGGGTTGCGCTATAACACATTGCGCAAAAACAACAAAAATTGGTATTTATAGTGAAACTCTATAACTCATATATATAAAATAATACTATACACAAATATATTTACCTCTTTGTCGCCGTATAAAATCCATTATTTTATGTTCTCCTTCGCCGGGGACATTAGCATCGCTTAATATTACTTTAATATTCCTCCAGCCTGGATCATTATTCAAGCGATCATGAATGTAGTAATGTAAACATGACGATAATCTTGCCATAAATGGTGTACCCTGAAATATGAAGCTTCCGATATATACAGCACGTAACTTTATAGTGATTGATATATTTTTCAAAATTAATAATAATTAATTGTAAAAAATTTTATTTTATTTGTCAAAAAGTATAAATATGTTTCAGATCTACATTTTATTTCGTTAACTGGATATTAATAATAACAATACAAACAAAATTGATAATTTTATTCTAAAATTGATAAGTATTTTTATACATATTTTATATTCTATTTATTATTATATTTATTATTCTATTACAATATTATAATTTATAGTTACAAACCGGAGTAATACAGTTACTATCGAAATGCTCTTCCTTTGGTTTTTCGGGAGGCAAAGATGCTCCTTTGAGAGTCAATTCGGAGCGTATCCTCTCTATTTCATTAATCTTTTCTGTTGATTCTTTTGCTGCACGAAATCGTCGAGATCTTTGTTGATTCATTTTTGCTCTGGGTGCCTGTACAACAGCAGACATTATAATCTCATTAGTTTTCCTTTCTTTATATTTTATGTGCAAAAATACTTACAACTCCATCAATTGCCATGTAAAGTAATTTCCTTGGTCTAACAATGCGAAACAATCTGTCAATACACTCGAAAATAGCCTCCATCATCTCATCTTCATCCTTGGGAGCTGGCCTTATATTTACACAAATACAAGATCACATAAACAATTCATAATAGACAATAAACTATTTGTGACATCTTGTTATACTTACTTATCCTCAGGATGTGTACAAGGATGTATTATACCATTCATATCAAGATACAAATTATCAAATTCTACCCCATTTGGATTTGGCTCTGCTGAATTCACAGGAATACATACCCCATCTGCAGATACTGACTATAAATATAAAATATCAAAATTTTACTCTTATATATCATTAAATTTAGAATATTATTGAAATAATTTGTCAAATTTTGGCAGTAAAATTAATTCATCTTAAACATGAAATATTCATATGATTATTAATTGAAAAATGTTTTGCTTAAGATGATATTATCATGTATGTATTTTGTGTTGAGTAAAATATTTGCGAGAACATTTAATATTTTAATGAAATAGTATTTTAACTAAACACTTTATATTTTAATGAAACTTAATTAAATATTAATTAAATATGTGGCCCATATTTAGAATGCGCTTTTATTTTCTAAAATTCTATAATGTGCTTAATGTATAGCACGCTAACATTGTTGTAAGAGCATTCTGAATATAGGCTATTGTATATTGATCATATTGAAAACATTTGCGGATCAAAGAATTTATTGAGCTTTTATTTATTCTAAATTATTAGAAATGACAAAAAATTAAATAATGTAATTCTAAAAACAAAGTACATGTTACACAAATTATCTTTTAATTTAAAAAAATTTTTTTTAACAAAACAGTTCAAAATCTTTATAACCATTTGTTATAACACAATCTTCAGCAACACAAAAATCTTCAACAAGAGAAAATCTAAAGATACATTCCGTTTCACACATGACATAATACATCATTTATTTATCTTTGTTGTTCACCGAATGTTAAACAAGGATAAATGATGCACTATGTTTCATACAAGAAACAGAATGCCCTAATATTACATTAATTTGAAATTTTTAATATTTAAAATGTGAAAATAATTTAAATATACACAAAATTACTAAATATTAACTTTAATTTCCTAGATATTAAATCTGACAAATAAAAGCAAATAAAGGATTATAACCATTCTAGAAAGTTTCAGAAATTTATTGTGAGCTTAACTAAAATATAATTTAAAAATTTGTGCAATCCATAAGTGCAGCGATTCGTTGCAAGGATTACATCTCAGAAAGCGAGATGTAAACATGGATAAAATGTAAATACAAATGACAAACATATAAAACGGAGGAAAACTTATCAGCAATCTAACCTTCTGTTCAATGCACTCCACAATTACGGAGGGATATTTGCGGCTTAGCCAACGAAAAAATGCTGGGACACCCATTGCTCGTTCGTTTGCTTGACAGTATTATGAAAACTTATAATTACAGTTACAGCACTATTATGTCATATTAAATCAACTCCATCAACAAACATCAACGCGTACGTTTAACTGTAATATGGAAAAGGTTAAAGTTGTTTCGCTTGGTTAAGCATAAATTAACATTATACATGATATAAAACACGAGATTTGATGCCACTCGGCTTTTGATGCCACTCGTGGAAATTTAGTGCAACACTAGTGCATTCTGAGTACAATTGAACACAAATCAATTCACATTTATATATTTTTAGTATTGATAAATAATGGAATTACTTTTAATTATATATCTTTGTTGTCACAATAACTTTATAATCTCAAAAGAATTAATTTATTTATTAACATTTTAAAAAATATGTAAACAGATATTGCACTCAATTGCAACAGTTTTTCTTAGTAGAGAAAGCTATGATACATTTTCAATTTTTCATAATTTTATTGACCTAGTTTCCACAGAATTTAATCCGGATCAGAATGTAAGAATCAACCAATTACAATCGAGTATTCAATCGAACGACTGTTGAGAGGAATGGTATAGTCAACTGTAGTTGATTGGTTCTTACATTCTGATTCGGTTTAAACTCTCGGTGGAAACTAAACCATTGATGCATTTAGCAAAGAAAATTGGTGAAAACGGATGTGGACAGAATTTATAGATGTTGCTCAAGTTTCGAGATGTGAGTTTAAAATGTAGAGTATAAATCATACTTTTTCATTCATTTCTCGTTGGTAATTTCTCGTTTTAAAATCATAATTTGAAGATCATTATATTCTTATACATTATTCAAATGTGGAAAAATACTTTTTGTTTCGGTATATTCTTGAATTTATTATATATGTATATATGTGAAAAAATAATCTATTATATGTGGTAATAGGAATTATAATTTATAAATTTTTTTGGTTTTTATACAAATTTGTAATTTCCCATAATTATTTGTGTTTATTCTTTTATTCTAGAAAAAGACATTGTATTTTATATAAAGAAAACGAAATGAATGGAAAAATATGAAATGCATGTTCTGTCGGTAAGCATTTAAGATGTTAGAAACCAATCAGATATCAATATTCATAGTTCGTTCTATTTCAAGACCGTCTTAAATAATAGGTCTGTTACGTTGCTTGAAATTCGTAATTTATTTAAACGTTGAAAAAAAAGATAGCGAAGATGCTGAGTGCAAAAAGTGCAAGCAAGTATAAATAAATAATAATAATAAAATATATGTAAATAATAATAAAATTTCTTTATATTTAATCTAAAATATATAATAAAAAATTAATTTAATAAAATTAATAAAAAATTGTCCAATAAACTCTTGAGAAATTTCAAAGTTGATGCGCTTTCATTCGCAAAAGTCGCAATAAATCGTATCTAAATATTCGTATACCATGGTTCAAATATATCTGCATTCTAAAATATATCAAAATATATGTCGTCCCATCTTCGAGTACAACAGGTATGCTGTGCGATGTTAAATATTAAATTGATAAATAAATCGAATACTAATATGTAAATAATTAATAAAAATAGATTAAAATTATTTTTCCTCGTCGCTAATTTATGAATCTTGCTATTATTTGCGATATTATTGAGCAAATTCTCTCAAAAACAATATTTTTGAAGGTTAGGAAATCTATCGTACCGACTGAATAAACGCGCGAATGTAATTGTAATGTTCATTGAAAACATGATTTTTATATTATGTTAATAGTATATTAAAATTTTTCACGTAATCAATAGTATCAAAATTTTTTTAAGTTAGAGAATTTTTCTGTTTTACTAACAAATAAATTTATAGCACATAAATTTATTTCTATTAAAACAAAACAATCTTGTATGATCCATTTTTTACATTAAGGCAATTATATTATACAGATACAAATTTACTCTTTTGCTAATTTTATTTCACAATTTCACTTTCATTAGATTTCTTGCTGCTTTAATTAAATGGAAATCTTCTATTATAATTTATAATAATATTGCTATAAAAATTTGAATATTGTAGAGATCTTTATATTTAAATATTTATCAACCATCTTATTTTTATGTTTTTATTTTTTATGTTTTTATTTAAGTAACTCAATTTTATGAATTAAATTATTAGAGAATAATAGAATTTCTTTCACAAGTAATTATATCAAACTAGATTTATCACAAAACAATTTTATATATAAAGACTTTTTCTTAAAACTTTAAGATTAGTTGATACTACTTTTATTTTTTTTTAGATTGTTTAACTTTTGTTTGTTGTTTATCTACTTATCTTAATTTCAATTAGAATGCCAGTAGACCAGATTCAGTATTCTGAAAAGTACAATGATGATAGATACGAATACAGGTAAGAATTTGGATTATGAATCATATCTTTAAAAATACTTAGACAATAAAAAATTCAAAATTGAAATACAAGATATCTTGAAAAATGTCTTTTAGGTGCCTTTAAGACGTCTTATATTTCGTTTTTAAACATGCATGTTGTCTGAGTAATAGTTGTAAAAGTTGTAAAAATTAGTTTTACTATTAGTTTTACTATTATTTAAATATTGTCAACTTTTATTATAGTTATGTTTTTCTTTTTATAATTTAAGTTTTTTTACATTATATTATTTGTGTAAAATATATATTATGATAATCATTTTTGCAAATTTAATTTTGAAATTATACTGATTTTGTATAAAATTGGATATGAATAAGAAATTTAAATAGAAATTTAAATAGAAGAGATTCTCTTTTCAGAGATTTTTAATTAAAAAGAAGATTTTCTTATATAATTAAAAATATATAAAACACTTTAAACTATTTTATAAGTTTTGACTATAATCCAATATGTACAGTTGAACTCAAGTCAATGTCAGTATAAATAAAATCATATAATTTCAATTATGTATAGGCATGTAATACTGCCAGTTGATATAGCCAGGCATGTTCCAAAAACTCATCTCATGACGGAAACCGAATGGAGAAATTTAGGAGTTCAACAGAGTCCTGGATGGGTTCATTATATGATGCATGGACCAGGTACGACTTGATAAATGAAAATTATTTAGGGAAATGTGTGTACATCATGAATTATAATCAGCATCATTTATTAACACAATCTAAATTTTTTTTTTTCAGAACCACATGTTTTATTATTTCGCAGAATGAGACCTGATTTTGTGACAGCACCTAGATGTACCACTTTACAAGGAGAACCTATTACTTGTTATAATTAAATCTGATGTGATAATGCGAAATGAATGGAAATAAGATAACCATTGATATAAGATTGAATTCTACCATATTTATAAGTATTTATTAATAGTTAAAAATTATAAGCATTAGAATATGTTATATTTTATCATCCCCATCTATATCTTTCACGTAATAAAATATTAAAAAATATCTTACAATTATCTATCAAGTATTGTTGGCTTCTCTAAATAAGTCCTTTTTAGAAAATGTAATTATTTGTGTAATATCTAATAATTTTGTATAGAAAATTTGCAACATCTTTTCTTCAATAAATTTTAGAAAACAGACAAGTTGTGAAAGTTTTTCGCGATATTTCCAAATTTCCAAGTGTTGCAAATTCCAGATATGTCACATAAACACAAGAGAACTTTAGTTCAAAAGAAAAAAAGCTAATTGGAGATAAAAAAAAGAGAGAAATATTGAATAAGAAGCAAATTCGATTAGCTATAAATTTATTAATGAGCCTATTGCTGAAAGATTGCGTGATGGATCTGGGGTACTCTGCATTTAAAATCTTAATCATTTCAAGCATGTATTTTCTTTCTTTAGAACTTCGCTGCTTCGCGTGTCCGCGCACAGCACGCGATGAATAATTATAAAATCTGTTTATCTATTAGTTAAACTTTTCGTACTTTGAAAAATACATATATCTATTAGAGCATTATATTAGAACATTCCTTCTAACAAGAAGTCACGCATTGCTGTCTTTATAATAATTTTTAATATATTGTAATTTTGTATAAATCTTTATATTAGAATTCGAAGTGTTATAATATAATACTTGCTTATAAAATTGAATTTACTTTCTACAATTCGCAGAGCAAAAGAAGATTACCTTAACAAATTGATATTAAAACTAAAATTTATTCATAAATACTTTTATTATAATTAAAATTTTAATGTTTTATTGTAATCAACTATACGTGATTCGATAATAAAATTCTTATGATTTTATATTTGCGAAAAAATTTGTACCTTTCTAGCATACAGTTTATATATTATTATAAATAAATTATATACAAGATGAATCTAAAGAGCTATTACAAAATTTATTTAGGTATATTTTTGATTGTCCAAGATTTATTTTCACAAAATTGTGATAGAACGATAATCGATTAATAATATATGCAGATCGCGTGCGTTTCTTTGGCTAAATGACACAAATAATCGAGCAAGGACGATAACAATGGATTGATAGGAAACATTCACGAAAGCATGCGAGCCATTTAATGGCTTTTCCGTTAGTAATCAGAGATGCAGCGTAGTAGTGAGTAAAGAATAAGAATTGCCGTGTAGTTATTCTTCCTTATTATCCCTTTCTCTGACTTTCTTATCGATTATTTCTTAATATTGCGGGTAGGGAGACAGCGCAAAAAGTATGGATGGAAAAGTTTTGTTGTAAGTTAAGAATTTAAGACGCTAGAGCCAACCATACCCGATTGGAACGATCTTATACATTTTGTCGCGGTGTAGCGATTCACCGATGTTTGAAATCTAATCTGCGTTAAATTAATTAAAAACGAAAAGAAATTGAATAATTATTATTAATGAAATCGAATATTTCTTCGTAATTCGCAACTATGTATAAGTGACATCACAGTGAGTATACTCTTTTGCATTTATTGTCTGTGTGTTTCTTGCTGAAATGTTAATTAAAACTAAAAAGCTCTACTTTGTTCGTATATTGTTTTAGAGTTTTGTAAATTTTTAATTAAATTAAAAATTTTCGAGTGTGGGTTTTGATATTAATATTTACATTGTTTATAATAAAAAACAATTTTGCTATTAATTCATTTAATATCGATTGCTTTATATTTTGATTTAAAAATTTTTAGAAAGCGATTTTATTGTTTTGAACAATGT